AGACTGGAGGAGTTAATAAACGGTAGACTGTCCCCTACGCCGGTGCTAGAGCTGCCCTGCCGACCGCGCCCCTTCCAGGCAAAGTGATGCATGCCGAGGGACTGGGAACTGAACAGGCGTCGACGTTTTCCGTACGAACAGACTGGGTGACGAAGGGGACTGGTGGATCCAGTTTTAACAACCGGAGCGCCTGGCGTAGTTTTGCTTGGAGTATCCTCCTTCGAGACTGACCTCTGCAAATCTTGTGGTGGATGCTGAATCAGGTAGGTAATTTCATCATTGACGGGCAAAGGTTTGCTTTGTGGCTTCAGATCACTGTTTAGATCAGTGAAATCCTCGGAAGGCTGGAGGGTCTGGGAGGTGGTAGAGTAGGGAGAGAATGGAATAGACTCGGTCAGTGGCCCTCTTTGTACTAAGGGGGAGCTGGAAAGACGGGAGAGTAGAGATTGAAGGCACAGATAAGTCAACGGCAGCTCGAAGCTTAAAGACGAAGAAGAAGAAGGCGACACCGCATCATCGGCAGTCGCATAGCAACAAGCAGTGACCAAGTAAAGCCGAGTACGAGCTCTCACCAACTCCTCCCGCGGCACATTTTCCAGAGCCTCTCCAACAGCCTCAATGTCTTCAGCTAATTGCACAGCTTCTGCGGGGGAAAGGACGATAAATGCGTCTCGAGTGTTCGAACCAATGAGGGCAAAGATGGCCAGGGCACAATCGCGGAGCGACTGTTTAGGCTTGGGGTTCCCCATCAGTGTGTCAGTTAGGCGTGCGGTAAGAGGATCTGCTTGGGGTCTAGATGGTTCTATCGGAGTCCGCAATCGCGATTCACGGGAATGTAAGAGGTCAGGAGAAACGAGTAATGCGGACAAATTCTCGACATTAGGGCCTCTTCTGTTAAGGACATCCAGAGAAGTGTCCGCTAGGGATTCGCGCAAGGCATTACTCTTCCGTTGTAGATGACTCCGTTGTTTTGCGTCCAGTTTCATAGGCCAAGGTCCAGAGTTAAATATGGCATAATTTAGTTCAGGTAGAACCGTGTCCGGCAGCAGCTTGCTGTATGCGAGACAGATCTGTTCAGTAAGTGTCAGCGGGAGATTCTCACTCGCTTTCCAAGCGGCCTGAAGAGCGATGGCCGTGGTACCCAGCTCTTCATCAGCAAGATGTTCAGGGGTAGGTACAGCAAGCAGGGTCTTCGCGAAATCTTGTAACTCCTCAGAAACGAGTTGGCCCTTTGTATTGTTTAGTTTTATTGCCAGTAAACCTGTAGCTGCTTTCAAAAGACCGTTGTTGACCGGTAAATTCAAACTGAAATATCCAAAGATAAGTGGATAAAGCTTGTTCTTCTGGGTTACCGTCAAAGGTCTGCTGTGAGCGAGCTCGGCGATAACAATTGGAAATGCCTTTTTCAGAATATCTTGACAGTTCGAATTCAGGCAGGTCATCAAGCTGATTTGTGAGCTTCTCAGTGGTAGCTCCTTTCCTTCAGGTATGCAGTTAGGAAAAGCCTTCAGAAAAGCCTCCACTTCATCGCCTTTATTCAAAGCTCGGACAGTCCAGCAGAATCGGTCATATGAATCCTGATTTAAGCTACCATTTGCCAGGATAATACTAGCACAGTGAAAAAGTTCAGCCAATCGGAGGAGCCAGATAGCATCCTTTTCGGTACCATCCAAAAGCCTTGCAAATGTGAGTCTCTGGTGTTGGTGACCAGAGGAAGCTTTCACAGTGCCCTCGTCAGTCGTGTCGGCCAGGAAGGAAGAAGAGGTAATTGGGGTGGCGGAGTCCTTGGGCAAAGAGTCCATGCTGAAGAACACATTGACCTCCGTGTCATTGGTTCTTGAGTCATAGGAGGTCAGTTCCATCGGAGAGACCTGATTAGAAAAGCGTTCCTCGTGACCAACAGAGACTGACACGAAACTCTCCGTCGGTGAGGAGACTACAGTCTCAGTGGACATATCCGAGGTCACGGAAACCGCAAAGATGGCAGATGGATCTAACTCAGAGGGTAGATTGTGTTGCTGCGGTTGCTGTTGTTGTTGTAGTAGCGGCTGTTGTTGCTTCTGCAGGATGGTCGTCTTGATGAGGTGGAGTCTAGATGGAACGCTGGAGGTAGAGGCACGTGCGGCATAAGAGAGCAGAACCACAGCGTGGAAGAAAAGCTTGGATTCCTCGGGTGAGTGTAAGCCCTCCCTAGAAGACAGATAAGCGAGGATGCTGGCGGCCAGCTCTGCAGCCACGGGTACCTGCGGTGGCAAAGCGTAATTCAGCAAAACGTCAAAGTTGAGGTCGAGATCTCTGGTAAGCAGTGGTCCTGTTTTATCCAAGGAAAAGAGGTTCTCAAAAAGAGCGTGCGTCCTCGAAATGTCAGCCGGTGACAAGGCAGACGTAATAGATTCAGTATTTGGCGCGCAAGGTCTGGATGAGGCCTTTAGGAGTATGTCTGAAGCTGACTTCGCATCCGACGGATGAAGGAGGAATAGACCGCTCAGTAGTGCTCGTAAGCCTTCTGACACCTGACGCAAGTCCAGACTTCCCAATGGGCCACCATCCTCCGAGGAGAGAATCGTTGGTGCAACCAGGGAACGCAAGTCCTCAACCTTCTCGTTTCTGGCGTCTAAGAGAGCAGCCTTAACACGAGCCTCATGGTATGTCTTGGAAATACAAATATCGGTAGGAGGAAGATGCCTGTTGGTTGAGAGGGCCCACTCAATTTGATGCAAACTGTAAGCAATGCCAATCTTTACAGCAGACTGTCCCCTCAGATACTCCGATCGTAAGACGATGGCCAGAGCGTGATAGAGAAGAAGAAGTTCTGTGAAGTTGAGTGGAGTTTTCAGTGGCATGTAGGAGTAGAGCACCTCCGTAAGCATATGAGCTTGTAGCCAGGGAAAATGAGAGTCGGACGGAAGAGTGGAACCAACGTCATGCATGTGCTCGAAACTTGCCGGCGTGAGCTCGACCACGGAGGGAAAAATATCGGCAGGGATCAGAAGAGGTGCATTAAAAAGATGCTCAAAGAAGGAACTGGCATTTTCGCTGGCACAGGCGATTGCGTTATGCTCAAGTAGGGAATCCAGCAGTTCACTCAACAGCGTAGTTTCTGGCAGCACTTCCCCCTGACCTTCAAAGAGGTACAACCAGACGACTTTTAAAGTGAGGCGGTCAATACTGAGATCTGACAGCGAATGAGCGGCGGCGATTGTCTGAAAAAATGCTGGCAGATCCCAGTTCCACGCAGCTCTTTCCTCTTGAGTGCTGGGAAGCAGAGCTAGCAGGAAACGACTCTGGCCTGCAGTGCAGGGTCTAGGATTAGAGAGCCCATCCTGCAAACCTAAAAGGACTTCAGTTGCAGCTGAACTATCAGGCTGGTCAGCAGCAGCAGCAGAGGTGGAGGATGCCATCAGTATTTGACAGAGAGCCAGCGCTAGCAGCTTGACGCGTAAGTCTGCAGTAGGTAGAAGGATGGCCGCAAGCACATGGAAGCGCAGTCTGTCTTTATTGATGGTTGAATTGACAGTAATCTCGTCCAGACATTCCGCGACGGCTCGAACTAGTTGTGGAGTCAATCGTTCAATAAGTAGGTGCTGTAATTGGCTTATCGTCTGCAGGTCGGTATCGTTTAGTTTACTCGGCACAAAGCCTGAGAGGATGGTGCGTGTCCTTCTATCCAGAGCCTCAAGAGCTGGAAAAATCGGTTCTGAAGCTCCCAGGTGCTGACGACATATGGAAAGGGCAAACACCAAATAACTAAGACTGTCAACGTCGGACCGATGTTCTGCTGCTGTCGAACCGAGTGTCCGGAGAGACAGAAGGGAGAAGAGCAGGGCCTCATCTGAGCTGGTAAATGTCTTAAGAGGCGGCTCAGAAGTCCTCTGATCTTCTTGCAAACAGGCAAGACGTTCAAGGTGCCTACTGAGATCATCACTAGCAGTGGTGGTAGGTTGTATAGTGGACAGGTCATTGTAAAAGGTTGAGGCTCGCGAAAGACACTCAGGAGAAATCAGCATTTCCTCATTCGTGAAGAAGTCCTTCAAGGTATCTCGAACTTCTTGAAGAGTTTTGGGCTGGTTGGTGATTTCGAGTTGGCCATCCAGCACAGTGCTTCCTCGGGTGAGTTCCCAAGTCTCCCCAGTGGGGTAAATTAAAGTTTGGAAAAGGGACTGATCGATGGGGAAGAGATTTCGAGCAAGACCATTCGAGATCGTCTCAATCAAGAGGATCTGCAAAAGATGGGTCCGTGCAGAAGCCTGAACAATACCGGCCTGGAAGTGCGCGACTTTTACAAGAGGGGCAGGTTCAGTGGCGAGAAGGTCCTGTTCGCAGGCACGTTCGAGGTCAGCACGCTCTCTACTCCATTCTACTTCTGCCAACTTGTCGAGAACGTATGTAGGCAGGGTTTCACTTTGCTTGGACATGAATGTTCTAACGAGGTCCACCTCCTCCACTGACAACCTCATTCCACTGCCCGCGTTCTGAGACCTAACAAGTTTGGCAATAAAATTTGTAGCAATGCCAACATCAACTTTCGGTTCTCGATTCTTCAACAGAAAGCTGACAAGGGAGGCCTGTAGGATATTTGCGAGGCCACTGGTAGTGCCGGCATCATTCTTTTTGCTCAGCAGCCATGCGTTCAAGTCCTCAGGTCGCATAAGCAGTTTGCGTTCCGTGCTCTCAATTAGTTTGTCCACTTCCGCGATGAAGTTTGACTTCAGTTCTCCCTCCCATGTCTCACTCTCATATACAAAAACGTTCAGGGCTACTTCGGAAAATATCTTCTTGAGACCTTTCTCTGGATGGAAAAGGAAGAATTGGGAAAGCGCGTGTCGCCATAGTAGCCTCTTTTGAATCTGCTCCGAGACGATCTCTGGTGACTGGGCGAGAGCACGCAACTTGTAAAGATTCAGCAGCTCAAGACTGAGATCATTCGGAACAGCAGCCAGGTTTGGGTTCTCTTCCAGTTGATGCAGTTGTGCATAAGCTTGCTGTGCTTCCTCCTTTAGCAAGGTCAACTCATTTGGAGTTAGAGGCAGTAAGCTGTCTGAAGTAGTCATGCTTCTGGATTGGATTTGATGCAGGAAAAAGACGGACAGAGAGTCAAGGTAGTTAAAACGTGTTGCACCGCATATCTCCGCCAGACTGAAGGCGTCCTCCGGAGACAGATTGTTCTCCCAGTTGGCGGAATTCATGGACTCCTGAATAAGCCCCATTCTGTTCATGCTGTCTTGCACTACAGGCTTGAAGACGCGAGTGTGGAACTCCCGTAGACGCTGCATAGTCTTCATATTGAGTCTCACGGCTGAATGCAGATCGGTATTAATTGAGAGGTTCTTTATGAGCTTCGAGTCATCTGCGTTCGGAGTGATGGAGGAGAGTTTTCTTACACTATCACACAACTGGAGGATCTGAAAAGGTGCCAGTTTGTAGGAAAAGGGTTGCATCGATTTGCGCTGGAGTACTTCCAGTGCGCATTGCACCATTAGAGCGTGATTGAGCAGCCGGAAAATAAAACTGTTCTCCTCAGTCTGTCGGGAGGAGGCAGTAAGGGTTGTTTGGGCTTCTGGCCCCTGTGAAATGGAAGAAGCTGGTGGTGCACGACCGGTTGCCTCCACATGCACTGGATGAATTAGGCTTTCCACCGTATCGTCATTGTAGTTAGTATTCTCTTCCGGCATGCGTTTCAAAGACGTCGACTGTGCAAAAGGATCCCCAAAGGGGTCAGCCAGAAATGCGTCAGTTTTCCCTTGGTCCATAACCATTGGCACCGATTCAAAGAAGTTGTCTATCTGTGCGGAGGTGACAGGCTTATTAGACGTTGAAACGACGTCTGGTTCGGAGACATTTTCAGTCCTGCCTTCTTGGGCCACAACAGGGGCATTCACACTGTCAATACTCGTTGAATGGCGCGCCAGTTCGCTGGGGAAGTTGTAGTCCAGACCAAGAGTAAGTATGTGCTCCAGGAAGGAGGCCTCGGTCTCGTTGAGTTCAACAGAGGGTTTAGGGTCGTCGGCGTTCACGGCGGCCTCCAGTTTCCCTATGAGGTTTTTCAGCTTTTGTGTATCCGATGGTGGTTGAATATTGCTGCTGAGAATAAGGACAAGAGCATCAAGAACCAGTTGCTGAGAGAGCGGTTCTATGACACAGATGCGTTTGAAATCACCGGGTTTCAACTTGAAGCGGTTTTTTACCGCGTAGAGCGCCTTAGAGACCTTGACTTTTGCGCACTGCAGAGCCAGAAGGCCGAATCGATCCGTCAGCTGGTGAAGGCTGGAGACCATGGGGGGATTCAATCGATAGACAGCAAGGCCCT